TATATATATATATATATTACCTATACCATTACTTCCCGATGGTCCAGCCTGTTCATTAAATTCAGCCGAAAAATTTTCACCACTAAAATTAATTTCAGGTTCCGCAATTCTCCTAGGAGAGTTGTATACTCGTTTTGCGAACGCCTCCTCCTCACTAGTGGGAACATAAGGTACTGGCACATTTTCCACATTAGCACAGTCGGGCGTAAATGTCAATGTATTATTTGATGAATTTGATCCGAAAGATGTCCTGGGACTTGCTGCAGATAAAAATTACAGGAGTTTTGTAATTTAAATGTTATACTTGTTTACCTAAGGGAGAAAAACTATTCTTTGGCGAAGCTGGTGACTGACATCCTTTAGGTGAAACTGAACCACGTCTAGAAGCTCTGGGACTTGAAATCATAGAAGAAGTAATCGTAGAACTACTTCCACTGGCCAATGGATGGCCCTGTGCCTTTAAACGTTTCTCTGCGTCCCGAAAATATTGTATGTATGACTCCCTAGCGACTTGTTCTTCGATGGCTTCATTAGTTGCCTCCCAGTCAGTTGCTTTTATTTTATCTTCTAACATTGTCTATTAGAGAAATAAGTTAAGACCGGTTTAAATTTAAGACTCCGTTTTTCATAAAAGATGAGAATCCTCGTTACCATTTCACAGATATTTTCTCTTTTACACATTTTGAAATTCATGTTATCATATAAATAAAACTTTAAGATTGTCTTGTTTTTAACAGACAGAGGATTCTCAAATTTTAGTAATTACTAGCTAATATACGCCAGTTTTTATTTCAACGGTTTCAGCTGACATTAAATTTTTACCACCATTACTTACTAACTTGCCGTGCTTGTACCTGTTCTATAAGTAATTCTTCACTAGCTCTGATAGCATCGTTGAACCTTCTTCTATCAATGTCGATTGGTTTATAGTTTGGTAGACCTAATCCAACTCCAACTGAAGGTTTGTTAGGATTACTAATAGAATTATAGTGGCACATCCTATGGTATGAAAGTCTAATCGGTTCATACGAGTTTATTAATCTTGAACAATTGAAAATGTTGATGGGTTCTAAAAACATTTTCAAATTAATTACATTACTAAGGTGCCCGTACACTGCATAGGTAAAGTCCTCTATCTGACATCTGAGTGTGTACCCATCACGCATAGCTCGCTAATGATAGCCATGTAAACAGATAGGGTGCCCTAAGTAGATTCATCTAAATCTACTCGCCGTGTTTGTCGTCTAAGGAGATTGTTTTTTTTATATATATATATATATAAACTGCTAATTTCATATAAAAACTGTAATTGATAAATGGAAAATGTAGTTTCCATTTTAACCAATGTAACTAAATTAGCAATACAGCAAGCAACAGTTAACTTAAATTAAAAATAGGGAACTGTAGTACATTGGCAATAGGTAAGGGTGGTCTACGGAAAGTCCACATATGGCTTACAATATTCTATGTTAAATAACAAAAAAAGTGCAAGAAATTAAACACGGTTGTTAGCTGACAGGTGGAGGACGCTATATAGACATATAGAATCATCCTGATTTTCAACAAGCTGTTTTCCGCATATAAATTTAAACTGTCAAAATTAATTAAAAATGAATAGTTATTGTAAGTTCAGAAAATGAAAACAGATTGATTTTCAAAACGTCAACGACTTATTGAAGTGCGTGATATATGATGCATATTTTGTATTTTGTCTTATTTCGGTGTGAGATTTTTGATTATGCAAAACTATTTTCATAAAAATAACCCTTGACCGATAATTTTGGCACGTTTTTTTTTTAATTTTCTCAAAAAAAAATCAGAAATGCTTTATATTTTTTTATAATATAATTGTATAGATTACTTTACCTATTTAAAGAATTTAAAAACGATGATTTGCATTCTCAAAAGCTCATCGACTTATTTCACCATTTTCAGTCATTCTGAATTTTATCAAACACGACATTTTGTCTGAAGTCTCCGTTTATTACACACAGCTGGCGAATAACGGATCATCTCTGCAGACTAAGGATGTATAGCTTGCTATGAACATCTTAAGATTTCGGCTCATCTTAATTAACTGGTTTACATGAGCTGTGGAAAATTCTACCAGTATTAATATTTTTGTAGCATTCGTAGGCCAACACTACTATCTACAATTACAGTTCTGCTCAGCCTATATCTAGAGACACCTGTCACAAGAAAACACATGTCATAGACTGATCTACATAAGGCAATTTATTTGCAGTATACTCACTGCTAAAGAAACCTATTTAGACCGAGACAAATCTAATTAGATTTTTCTTTGCTGTGTACAGGCACCTTTATAATGTACATACGCACACACACGCACGCACGCACCCACACACACACGGACCTAACTAGACCTACCAATTTGATAACAATAAACTTCAATGGTTCTATTATATAATTCACTCATTGCTTGAATTTCTAGGTGATTTCCATGTACATGCCATGTACGTTTTCTTGCTACGTATTTATCAAAATCTTCAGTAACGTAAGGCTCAAAATAATCCCGATTTTGGACCTGCATATAAAGATATTTAATTTAGAGGTAACGGCCACTAAAAAAAAAATTTTTTTACATACAATGTAATTCATACAATCCTGTCGAACTTGAAAATGAAATTCTTGATCACCATAAACTTGATCTGCTATGGAGCGAAAAAGGCATGCTCCATCTTCATTCATATTCTTAATTTCAAATCCTAAATTTGACATGCAACGAGCAAATATGGCATCCCTCTAAAAGAAAATATGTTACGTAATATCACTTAATATTACCAAAATTGCATTTACTTTCTGCCATTCCTCATCGGTGAGATGTCTATCCTTAATTACACTTTCGTCATATTCATCTTCGCTATTAAATCCAGTACAGTCTTCCTTACTAACTACTTCACTATTACTGCAAGGCGTTTCAGTGGTTGGATTATCCACAGGTGAAGTAATGGTGTTATTTTCATGAAGTGGTTCTGCAATAATCTCCCGTTTATTTAATACAATTCTGTCTCTTTTCTGTTCTCTTCTTGCTTCACGTTTCTGTTCACGTACATTTTCTCTGTCCCTAGGCCGGTCCGACTCTTTATATCGTTTCCTTAAACGTTCTTTTCGATCATTTTTACTAAAATATATTTCACAAAATAACAAAAACTTTTATAATTTATAATAATATAATAATTTATATATGTTAGGCACATACATGCAACCATATAAAATTTCTTTTTTTTTTACTTACAAAGGAAAGGGTGAACGTCTTGCAGTGGCATTATTTTCAGAAAGACTTGCTATTTGTTTAGAGTTAATATCATTTCTACGATTCACTCTCTCCGAAGGTCCCTAAAATTTCATTGAAAGAGAGGGCTAACATTCAAAAATCATCAACGGTAGTATTTATATGAAATGTCTATCGATATATGATATAAACTTATCAATTCTGGATAAATAGCTATGTAATATGACAGTACAATGAAAGATTAGGTACATACGTTCTGCTGATTGCTCTCTTTGTTCTCCTCCGCATTTCCCCCTGTTTTTCTAATTGCTGGTAAAATCGTCATCCCTTCAGATAAGTTAAAATATGATTAGTAGTAAATTTTTATAATTATTTAGTTCACAAAAATCGAACGAGAAACTAGAAACGACAAACCACTGAAGATGTCAAACAAGAGAACCACCACAAAGAGAACAGCTGGGCTTCTTGCCAACATTAGAAAAATGTATTTGATTTGGAGAGGAAACAATGGAAAATAAAAATGAAATAAAAATAAGAAGAACTCTGACAATTTTTTTGACAAGTAAATGTAACCAACAATGTTCCAAAAGTAAACAGTTAAACAGATTTACTTAAAATATCACAGAAAAACGATTGTTTCTGTAAACATTATGCTTCTATCACAGAAGATAAAACAACTGTGGTAATCTTCTGTGGTAATACAGAGGATACAGATCTTTGATATCTTGATATTCTCTAATTTACTAATTTGACCTTTTCCCATTAATGTACGTGTTGCAGCATACTGCATATGATTCTATTTTTTTAATTAACAATTTTGTCGTTTATACATAACAGCAACTTAACAAAATTAATTGAAAAATGTTGAATGAAAAAAATGAAATAAACAGTGTACCTGAACATAAATATTCCTTACTTTTTGAAAAATAATATATTATATAAGTTTATTATAAATGCACACGGTTTCAATCATTCAATGTGCCAACTTAAATTTCTAGTCAAACCTAGCATGTTTTCCAAGCTTAATTTGAGATAGCATGTTTTCCAACCGAAATCTGAGATAGCATGTTTTCGTACTAAAGCATCGATACTACTGGAGGCAGCGTCACAGAAGATCAACGGTCAAAACGGGTCAATTTTTGTTCTTTTTGTATGTTTGTTGTTCCCCTGAATTTGGCAATGGTTTTTTGGAATACCTAAGCAAACTCGGATTCTTATTCTACATAATATTTGGGATTTTTCTGTACATAACAACAAAATATATGACTTCAAATACAAACGCCTCGAATGCTCTACCGTTTGGACTATTTAGGCCATGCAAATAAAATTTTTACTCCAAAAAAGTCCTATCCGCGATGTTATTGTAAAATTGTCTAAAGGAACATAATACAAGACATCTTTCATCTCGTGAGTTAAAAAATTTTATTAGCTAACTTTTCTATTTCAACAAATAAGTGAGGAAAACAATTTTTTCACTTTGCAGGGAAAACCATCAATTTTAGGGAAAAGTGACTCACGGACAGCTCGTAGGGTATAAAATTATCTACAAAATGAGACTTGTTAAATTAAAATCGGTTAATAAACAAAAAAGTTATTCCAAAAAAACTAGAAAAGGGCTCATTTTTAAATTTGTTTATAAATATCGCATTTACTGTTAAAATTTTATAAAACCTATGACAAGTTGAGGGTTTTGTCATACTTTTTCATTAAAAATTGAAAAAAATTTAAATTTTAATTTGTTGTATTCTATTGCATTATATCTACTATTGAAAATGGTTGTGATTAATATTTTTTGAATTAATTTTGATGTTGCAATTTTTTTTTTTAATTTATAATTAATATAATAAAAAAACTTTATATATTAAAATTTCAAGGAGTTAAAATTGTAATTTTATCGACCGCATTATTTTTATTAATATTTTTTAATTTTGAGAATTTTGCAACAAAATCAAATGCTTTTTATTCTTTTTATAAATTTTTTAACAATAAATAATAATTTGAAAATAATTTGTGAATTTTTACTTCAATTTTACATTTAAATCGTAATTAAAAAATGAGTTTACTTTGGCTTAATATGTAAAAAAATTACTTTTTAAATGAACGATTGCTTCATTTATTTATTTAATAATAGTAAAATAATTCCGAAATTGAAATTTTAATTAATATTTCATTTAACAATAATTTCTGTGACATTTTTGGAAGTTAAAAAAAATTAAGTATAAAAGATGAATTTTTTCTGGGGTTCAGGGCTATTCTACGAATTCGTAAATACGCCCACTGTTATTTTTTCGTCGAGCTACCCCAGTTTAAAAAAAAAAAGTTTCTACGATGAATAGGATTTCACTTTTTTCGCGCGCGCGACTCGATTGGACGAGCTTCCCCCATCATCACGCCGGACAGTTTACTTAGCGAGTACCTTCTCTTTAAAGGGCTCGTGAGTCGTTAATTTTCCACATTTTTTAATGCAATGCACGGGAAACCGTAGATTACGTCGTAAACTTTATTTTGCGAAAAATTCAAGTCTTAATATTTATAAACAATTGCGCTACGATTTAAAAAAAAATCTTATCTTGGCTCCTGTTGGTCGTAGAGGGTACTTTTTTTAAAAAAAAAATTGCATATTTTTGCCAGCTATCCATTGCGTCTATTTTCGGTGAGGTAGCATAAATAGCAACAATTTTATTCAAATTGTTAAAAATTTAATGTTATGTAAGGCAACACTTCCAGATGTCTTAATTATTATTTGCTTGTAGACTGATTGTAAACATTCATGATAAAATTAAAATTTTAATAGAATATCTAGAATACCTTTCTTTGAGAGTATAATATAATTTTAATTGTTCAATTATAATTGAAAAATTAGCTAAATAATAATAAATAATAATAATTAAAAATTCATTAGAGATATTAAACTAATCTTTCCTGCGTTTTTTTATTGCCTCGAACATCTACAAATCCTCATTTATTTTTAACATTTTTCTGTACTTGGGCGATAATTTAATAATAATAATATCTAATAATAATAATAATAATAATAACATTTATTATCTTAAATTTCAGTACAATCGCATAACATTTATTTGTGTTATTGTGTTATATACCTATTAATTATTAGCTTCAGTAATTAAAAAGAATCGATTTAATGTATAAATATGTGTGTAAAATAAACCTAAAAACAAGAGCATATAAATTAACGAGATATTGGTACAAAGGTTATAATAAACTACTATTTCCAACAACTTTTTTAAGAATCAAATCGTCACCTTTTCACAATGTAAATACCAAACACACACCTAAGTTGAACATCCTAATTGGCAACAGTGTATCGTCGTCGTGACAGCCTCAGCGGTGCGGTGTTTAAAATTTCTTCTAACTTGAAAAGCTTATAAAATTGTTTCGATTTTAATATTCATGTTGTTATTTGAAATAATTATTAGCTGAAAAAAAGTCATAACCGTATCGGGGATCGAACCCGGGACCACCGCGTGACAGTACAACGCGATACGCTCTGAGCCATCACAACACACTTATGGATTCGTTCATGTCCATCTTTATAAGGTTAATATTTTGAAATATCTAATTAATAATAATACATATAAACAAATTAACAAATTTAGTTGGTGTCCAAACAACGGTGATATATTTTAATAGGTCGCTTAATTACGTCTTTGAGATTACAACGACGCTTTCAGAATCATGTTTGGTTAAAAATTAACGCCTGTATGTACAGAGGCTTAAAGTTCATAACTTTGGGAGCCTCCGTTATAAACAAATTGTGTGAAAACTATTGCACCTACAGCACCCACTGTTGACACACTTTTAAAGTATGACAAAACCCTCAACTTGTCATAGGTTTTATAAAATTTTAACAATAAATGCGATAGTTATTATAAACAAATTAAAAATGGGCACTTTTCTTGTTTTTTTGCAATTACTTTTTTGTTTATTAACCGATTTTAATTTAACGGGTCTCATTTTGTAGATAATTTTATCCCCTACGAGCTGTCCGTGAGTCACTTTTCCCTAAAATTGATGGTTTTCCCTGCAAACTGAAAAAACAGTTTTCCTCACTTAATTGTTTAAATAAAAAAGTTAGCTAATAAAATTTTTTGACTCGCGAGATGAGAGATGTCTTGTATTATGTTCCTTTAGACAATTTTACAATAATATTGCGGATAGGACTTTTTTCGAGTTTCTCTGTTATTTTCCCTAATTATCCTGGTGTAATTCCCCTATTCCCTAAAAAGAGTACGTGATTTTTAAAAAATAAATTGAAGTAATAATAAAGTATTATTATTTATGAATTTCCGCAAACTTAGTATTTAAAAATATTGCTCACTTCCACAGTTTTAGCCAATGTCTCCAAGATCTACACGTTCTTCCAACTTTCTGATACGACGGGTCTGATTTTTTTAACACAAACCACTTCGTGCATCTGCTCGAGGAAGGATTTCTGAGCACTTCGTCACGAAAAGGGGGAGCATAAGGGGGTGTGGGGCAGTCTCCAATATCACACCTGAATAAGACAATGTACCTTATTTGTTGTTTCCTTTAAGATCTTTTTCGGAAAAAATAAATTAATTATTTTTCTGAAAAACTGTTTCTCCTTGATATTATTTTAATCCAAGTTTATTTTAAGTTATTTTAAAAAATATTTCTTTGGTAGTACCTTTTTAGCACAGAAATTTTCTACTAAACATTTTCGGACCCTGTAAATTTTTCCCTTAAATTTACACTTCCCAGGTACATAATATGATTTCAGTTTAGCTTTAGCACTATGTTTTATTTAACTGTATTTTATAAGTAGAATAATAGATATAAAGATAGCCAGTAATACACACCAAATAGGTCAAAAATAAAATAATACTTAATAAACTAGTAAGTTTTATTACCACTCTGAAGTTGAAGGTATAAAAACTTCCTATCAATATTAAACATTTTTTATAAATTTAAAATAACTTGTTACGTGCATTCTATATATATATTTATTTTAATATTTTCTTATGGGTTTTGTGGGCCCCTACCTATTGTACTTATAATACCTACATATAGGTATAATAAAAAATATGTACGAAAGCAAAGTAATTACATAAAATGCTAGCCAATTATTTAAAATTGTGATGCGTATAGATCTACATTCAAAAATTTTAATTTACTTACTGTAAAATTTCAACTAACTTGTCCCCACTTTATAATTATAATTTTTGTAGAGAAGTAACGCTTTTTCTTCTTAGAGATATATTTTGATTACATCATCACTGCCACCCAACAAAATTAGTCGGCGCACTTCCACAAACGACAACAATAACACTTCACTACAAAAAATATAACTGACTAGTCAGTTTTTTCTTTGTAAATACTAAATTTGCGCAAGAAGTTTCGTTCAAATCAAACTAACTGATATTTAAAGTAAAATGGGTTCGTTTCCTTTTAACCAGTTAAAAAAAACTTACTGCGTGGTAAACTAATGAAGGCATAAAATAATATTTTATCTAATATGTATTTACATTTCATATAGTATAGGTACCTAATATTAAATAGTCTTGAAATCGGTAAGATTACCTACTTTTCGTTTATTTAATTTAAATTAGTTATTTTCAAACTTATAATAATTTAAATGTAAAATTATAAATAGTTATGGCATCATTCTACATTGATTAGAAACAAACAATTAAGTACCCTGGTATCAAAATCTTGCACAAGACACTTATACAAGACTGCTGTGTATTATACCTATTGCTGAAATCAGCATCAGGTTTACTGCAAGATTCATTGTGCAATTGTCTTGATCAAAGCTTTCAATGGATTTGATACAGGGCACTTGAGTTTGTACGAATTTTTTAGAAAATTATAACGCGGTGGTAGTACGGAAAGGTGGGTTCCGGGGCTAATTTTGGGACGGCGCTTGGAGGGTCGATTTGGGCCCCTCTTGCCATCGCATTCCACGCGAAAATTTTTTGGCGTAGGCCTATTTTAATTTTGTACGAATTATAACAAAAGATCGGGTGTGATTTAAGAGTGCATTTTTTATTTTAGGCATTTTCGGATAAAGGGAAAGATTTTTCTTATTTTTTTAAGGTATTTGGGACAAGAAAGAAATTTTAATTTTATTTTTTAATTTTTCGATCACGTGATCGATTGAAACTTCAACTACATCTACTTGAAGTACTTTTGGTTAAGTCTGGTGCTAGTATTGTAAAAGTATCTTGCATAAGAAATGATATAAATTTCAGCAAAAAAAACACAAAACAATCTGACACAATTTGGCTATTTCAAGTAAACTTTGAAACAACTTGTATTAGAATTGCACACGATTGTGGTACCAGGGTAATTTAAATTTAAACGAATCTGACCTTACAGGTCAGTGTAATAATAGATATTATAATTCTCTCAGTGTAGGAATTGTTAAAACAATTATTTTAAGAATTATCTCAAAAGGAAAATAAATAAATAATTACTGCTGGGTACACATATAGACACTCGGTAGATATGTAAGCTCGTTGCAAGTTAAAAGTTTTAATGTTACATGGCGCATATTAAAAAAAACTTTTAATGGAAAATGCGTGAGGGGTGGTGGTTTGAAACAAAATGTATAATATTTCACTTAAACAGCTATAAAATTAGATAATAATTCGGCAAAGTAATATTTTGTCTCTATGAACCCGACATTCATTATCGTAAATTTACATAATTATAGCCGTACGAAAAGCAAGGAGTAAAAAATGTCAGCCACTTACAGGGTAAGCTATTGACTAATAATAAATAAAGAGGAAATTCAGTAGAGACAGAAGCAATATATTACGGCCAACCCCCTGTAAGGGCACACCAATAGGGTGCTGGATAGGGATAATTAAGGGTGGAGTCACAGTAAACCGCAACCCTGGATAGAGTGTAATGTTGCTATAGCAACAACCACCCCTAAAATTCAAATGGTGATTTCAGTTTCATATGACTGTTCCAAAACATACTTCAGATTATCGTTTATAATCATGGAGAAATTAACGCAATTCGTATCAAAGTCTTTTGAAAATAATATAAACAATAATAATATTAACACTAATAATAATAATAATAATAATAATAATAGTATTAATAATAATAATAATAATACAGCAATGAGTGAGCACTGTCTAAATTTATCGTTTGATGTGAAAAGTCCATCCTCGTCGCCTTCTATAAAAACGGAAAAAGAGTTTCCTTGTACCCAGGATAACGCAAAAAAACCCAAAAATTGGCTTATATCTGATATCGAAAAAACAACAACGGACACATCGCCCTCCTTGGGAATCGATCTAAGACTTAATTCAACGCGAACATTAAACGGTGTGAAGTGCAATGGACATTTAAATTTAACTGATACCAAAAATTGTGACACTGAAGCACAAACTAAGTGGTGTAAAAATAATTTAGATGTGAAAACTTCTCACAACTATTATCCATTAACATCTAACGACATCGATGATTCGACTTGTGACAAGAAATACGAGAAAAAAGAAGACTGTAATCAGGATAACAATGAGGAAAGAGAAAATAAAATATGTAAGTCCAAAACTGATTTTCAGGGAAATAAAAGTATATTAATTAATACATATATA